TATTTCAAAAACATTAATGTATGATTTTCATTATAACTATATGATTAAAAAGTTTAGTAAAATCAAATTATTGTATACAGATACGGATAGTTTAATATATCATATATTTACAAATGATTTTTACACTGATATAAAACCTGACCTTTCATCATACTTTGATACCTCAGATTATGATACAAATAATATTTTTGAATATCCAAAATTAAATAAAAAGAAATTAGGTTTTTTTAAAGATGAAAATAATGGTAAAATCATGAAAGAATTTGTGGGTTTACGATCCAAAATGTACGCTTTTAACTTAGAGAATAAGACTATAGCCAAGGCAAAAGGGGTAAATAAATGTATCACTAAAAAGATGACAACGAATAGTTATAAGTCTTCTCTATTTAATAAAAAAGTGCAATATTATAGTATGCTTAGATTTAAATCAATTAAACACACAATTTTCACACAAAAATTAAATAAGATAGGTTTATCATATAATGACACAAAGAGACATATTTTAGATAATAATATTAAAACATTAGCTTGGGGTCATTATAAACTGCGTTAAGTTTTGATAGTTTTTACTTTTATGTCTGCGTTTAAGAAAAATTTATATTGATTGTAAAATTATGATAATACTATAATATGACGTAGTTTATTACATATTTAATCATTGTTTTATTGTAAATAATTTAAGTTAATTGTTGTTTCTATTTATTTGAGGTTGAGTTAATTGTAAAATTGTGATGTACTAATTGTTGTTTCTATTTATTTGAGGTTGAGTTAATTGTAAAATTATGATGTACTAATTGTGTTAGAAATAGTGTATACAGATAATTCTGTTTTATATAATTTTTGGAATATATATTAATTGTTTACACCAACACTTTCATTTTTTATTTCACCCCTTTGAACTTTAGACGTGTGTTATGTTTCACTTTATCCATCCGTTCACTGCTATTGTGGCAGGACCAAGTGGGTGTGGGAAGTCAAATTTTGTAACAAATTTCATAAAATCAGTTACAGAAATATGTAATTGTGATTTTAATCAGATCACATGGTGCTTTGATGAAATGCAACCATTATATAATTTACCAAATGTTAACTATCATCAAGGAATTCCAAATCTTAATATGTTTGATGGTGAAAACCCACATCTTGTTATTATTGATGATCTAATGAGAGAGTCCGATGGAAGAATTGTGGATATATTTACAAAAGGTAGTCATCACAGGAATCTTAGTGTATTTTATCTAACACAAAATTTATTTCATCAGGGTAAAGGACAAAGAGACATATCTTTAAACTCAAGTTATATAATATATTTTAAAAACCCTCGAGATAAAACTTAAATAAGATATTTAGCAAGACAAGTATCACCAGATAACCCAAAATTCATTGAAAATGCCTACAGGGATGCAACTCTAGAGGCGCATGGATATTTAATGGTAGATTTAAAACAGAATACCAATGATTTTTGTCGTATCAAGACAAATGTCTTTCCATTTAATGGTTTCTGTACAGTCTACGTCCCCACAAAAGAGTTTAAATACACCAAGAATCAAACAATTGAAATCATTGCTAAATGATGCATCGTCGACTCACAACGTATAAACATTTGCTAACCGCTTTGCATACGCTTAAACCAAAATATCAAAGAGCATTACTTAAAACGTGTGATGAAGAAGAAATTAACTGGTATTTGTGAGTGTATTCATAACGTTTTACAAGGAAAAGTACCTCTTAAAGATCAGGATAAACAAAAATTGAATAAACATAAAAACATACTCCGTAAACTAGTACGTAAGTGTAAACATAAACTAAGAAAAAATATAATTATACAAAAAGGAGGGGCTTTCTTACCAACAATATTAGGTGCAATATTGAGTGGATTAGTGAGTGGACTAGCCAGTTAACATGGAAAATGCAAAGAAAATGATACTTATCGAACCTGGATTGATTGAAAAATTAAAACAAGAAAATAAGGTTAATAGTAATTTATCTCGATTAGATATTGAAATGCAAAATATTATGAATAGTAAGACGGAAGACCGAAAGAAATGGATATTATATTTACAAACACTGCAAAGATACCTTCATTTTACCGAAGAGGATCGTCAACCACTCAAATTACCAATTTATTCTGATACATCTAATGAAGATTCAAATGAGTCAAAAATTGGTTTTAAAAATAAAGATAGAGATCTAAAAACTTCAGTTGATATTGAATCTTTGCTGGAGGAGAATCGATCCATTAAAAGTAAAGAAAATGATGAAAATCCACTTTACACACCAGCTCAAATACTCAGTTTAATACCAAAAACTTATCATAAAAAAGGGCAGTTATTATTAAACTTAGTTGAAACAAGTAAAAGTAAAATACATTGGGATAATGAAGGTACAGTCATAATTGATAGTGAAAAAATTCCTGGAAGTAATATTGTTGATTTAATAAATGATTCACTAAGACCCCTAAAAAGAAGTGATCCGGTAGGGTGGGTTAGATTTGCTGAAGCATTAAAAGATATTAAAGTACCACTTACTTATATTGGAAATCCAAGGAGATGTGAGTTTATTAACCAACTTCAAGCAAAAGATCTGAACAAACCCTCTGAGATTGAAGTTCAAGAGTTTTCTACACCGGGCAGTAGAGATAAAAAGTCTACAACTAAAATACGTAAAGGACTTGAGTGGGAAAAATGGACTCCGTACTAGAAGAAATTAACAGGATTTATTATGATCCATCTAATCCCGCTGGTTTTGGTAGTATTGATAAATTATCAAAAGCCATGAAGGGTAAAATGAATAAAAAGCAAGTAAAGGAATGGTTAAAATCACAAGAAACATACACATTACATAAACCCATTCGAAAAAAATTCCCGCGTAATAGGTACATTCTATCAAATATTAATGAACTGTGGCAAGCTGATTTAAGTGATATGCGAACTTATTCTCAATATAATGATGGTTTCAAGTATATACTTTGTATTATTGATGTATTTAGTAAATATGCTTTTGCAAGACCAATGAAAAAGAAAAACTCAGAAACAACTAAAGAATGTTTTGAAAGTATATTTACTGAAAGTAATTTAACACCTACTCACATACAATCCGATAAAGGTACAGAATTTGTTTCAAAAGATGTACAAAAATACTTTAAATCCAAAAAGATTAATTACTATACCACTAACAATCCTGACATTAAGGCTAGTATTGTTGAACGATTTCAAAGAACACTAAAAATGAAAATGTGGCGTTATTTCACTCATAATAATACTTATAGATATATAGATGTTTTACAAGATTTAATATACTCTTATAATCACAGCTTTCACTCTAGTATTAAGATGTGCCCATGTGATGTAAATTCCAACAATATTATGACAGTTTGGACTAATCTTTATGATAGACGGTCAAAAAAACTTTCTTTAGAAAATCCTAAACCAAATTTCAATGTGGGTGATTATGTTCGAATAACTAAATATAAACATGTATTCCAAAAAGGATATGAATCAAATTGGAGTGATGAAATATTTATTATATCTTCAATAATTGATAGATCTCCATGGGTTGTTTATACAATAACAGATTTATAAAATGAACCAATAATTGGTACTTTTTATGAAAGAGAATTACAGAAAATCACTTACAACCCCACCTCACAACATAAAATAGATAAAATAATTGACACTCGTTATTCAGGTAACAGAAAAGAAGTATTAGTGAAGTGGAAAGGTTATCCAGATAAATTTAACAGTTGGATTTTAGCTTCTAGTTTAAAAGAAATATGAATAAAGAAAGTTTCTATTTAACTTTGCTCAGCAATAGTTCAATGGAATACTTTCCTGATAACAAGACCACAAATTTTTCAACGAAATTACCAAAAGCTATAAAATTAGAAGGTGAATGGTCGGTTAGAGTTGTCGAGTTTCAATATCCATGTACCATGTTTACTGTTCAAGACCATGAAAATGTTATATACATTACAAAATCTATGTTAATGCCTAATGAAGATAAACCATCCACAGTGTACTACAAAAAACATATTCCAGCTACCAACTATGATAACGTTGAGCATATTTTAAGAGTGTTAAATGGTATCGGAGAGAACTTGAAATTTCGCTATGATGAAATAACAAAATTTGTGTCTATTTCGGTATTGGATAAAAATATAACATCCGTAACATTATCACCCAAATTAAGTTTACAGCTAGGTTATGAACCAAATAAAAATCTCCTAGAGAGAAATTTTGGAAAGTGTCCTGCTAATTTACACTTAGGGTTACCATCTCAACTATTTCTATATTGCGACATTATCGATCCTCAGATTGTGGGTGATGTTATGACTCCTTTATTAAGAGTCATTTCATTAGATCCTACAAAATACATTTATGGTGCAAATAAAATGCACGTTTTCTCTCAACCTCACTACTTACCTGTTATGCGAAGAGAGTTTGATACGCTGGAAATAGTTATAAGATCGAGTACAGGACAAAAAATACCATTCCAGTTTGGAACCGTGTGTATTAAACTACATTTCCGAAAATTATAATAATGAATTCTCTTCGTGATCATCATAAATGTCCATATGAAAATTATTATACACATCAAGCTGGATCAGGAGTTGGAGTAATTTATAAGGGTTCACCATATCAACGCGGTCATGGTATTGGGAGCTTCTTAGGGGGGTTATTCAGATCAGTTTTACCTTTACTTTCAAGTGGTGCTCGAGTGATTGGTAAGGAGGCATTAAGCGCTGGAGTAGGACTTTTATCGGATATGGTTCAAGCCCGTCCTATGGAAGCCTCAATAAAAGATCGTCTAAAGCAAGTTAGTACGAATTTAAAACGAAAGGCTGATGAGAAAATTGATCAATTTAACATGACTGGATCTGGGTATAAAACTAAAAGAAAACGATTGACATCGTTCATTCCACCATTAACTGCTAAAGTGAAAGCTGCGAAAAAACTTTGTCTAAAACCAAAAAATATCAAAGATATATTTTCAAACTAAATATGTCTTTCCTTCATAATCATTCTTGCGAGTGCGTTAAGTCAGAATTGGATTTGTTTGCACTACCGTCTACACAAACTAGCATTGAAAATGGATTGTGGATTCATTATAAACCAATTTCATCTCTTGGTGATGATGGACCTATCGAGTTTCAAGTTCCTGGGACCGGCGATGACTACATAGATTTGTCTCATACATTACTCCACATAAAGGCAAAAGTATTAAATCAAGATTCAACTAACTTGGTATCTACTACAATAGTAGCACCTGTAAATAATTGGCTGCATTCACTTTTTAGTCAACTTGATGTTTATTTAAACCAAAAACTTGTATCACCACCTAATAATACCTATGCATATCGAGCATACATGGAAACCCTTTTAAACTATGCCCCTGCTGCTAAACAATCTCATCTTACTTGTAGTCTTTGGTATGAGGATACAGCAGGAAAAATGGATTCTACAGATGGTAAAAACATAGGATTTGTTAAAAGACAGGAATTGATTAGTGAAAGTAAGGAAATAGAAATGATTGGTCATCTTCACGGTGACATTTTTAACCAAGATAAATTTTTAATTAATGGTGTTGAAATGAGTGTTAAATTGGTTCGATCAAGAGAGAGTTTTAATTTAATTGTTGGGTCAAACCTTAGAGTAATTACACATAGAGTGATAGTGACATTCAAAATTCCGTTCAAAGTTGAAGCAACAACACAATGAATGTGTGCATAAGCGGCCTGTAATTACGTTTGCCCACACGCACATAAGCAAATGAGTAATGTTTGCAAGTTAATGACATTTTCCCCCAAAAGTGGGGAAAATGTAATAGTAGACATCGTCATAGAATTAATATTTAAGTTGCGTATATATATATGTGTGTGTGTGTGTGTGTGTGTGTGTGTAATATCTTGTGTTATATTCACAAATCTATTATGTAATTATATTATTCTGTTAGAAGTGGTATATTTATATAAATATTTGTTATTTATCTTCCATAAAATCTTATACTATTTGTAAATATTAAATTTTATATAATACTCTATGGCCTTATGATATATAGAGAAGTGGAAGAAATGGAGGAGGCAAATGCCTACGTCTAATCCAGTCCCACTTAAACTTAACAAGTGAATAGTTGTCAGATAATCATTTTAGCTGTCAGATATTTTTTCATTAGTTATTCCTTACTAACTTTGGCTGTGGCCCGCGGCTTCAGCCGCATATTAAAGCATACACTGATCTCGATTCTTGCCATTCTAAGAATCTACGTGATATATTTAATTTCGATCGGTTTCAACGTAAAGGTTACAACATACAACTTTCACAGAATGGATATAATACTCGTATTAGAAGGAATCACGAGACTTAAGAGTGCGGTCAGCTCCAAGTGATTATTATTAATACTTTATTGGATATTATGTTTAACATTAAAACGGTAAATAAAAAGGTAAAAACAACTGCACATTATCAAAACAAAATAAAATCAACACATTTTTTTCGTGTCAAATGCAAACCCTAATAATATTTGGCAAATAAAAATACCTATTTATATGTGAATGAGACTATTGGCAGTATGTATGTATTTTTTTAATATGCATTTTTTTATAATTACAATAATAAGAAAAAATGGGGTAAAATATTTTACTATGCCTAGCAACATTTTCATTATATTGGCGTCTGTCAAATTTATTATTTATTATTTTGTATTGATGAATGATTTTTACAAAAATATATGATGCTAGGCAGTACTTAACCGTGAAATGATATTTTTAAATTTTTTTCGTGATTGTGTGATGAGTTGTGACACCCTTTCACAGCACAGTACGTAATTATTTTGAAAAATTATGCGAGCTGTTTACACGACTACGTGGACTCGAGTACTAACGCGCCAAAAGTCGTACTTAGCCTTTAAAGGCTAACTTGAAATGGCTTCACTTTGCGTGCGCCTACTGCGGTTCTAAGCCTAATACTTCTATGGGTCAAACGATGTAAAGTTTAAAGTTTGCATTACGGACGCAACTCTTATTGTTCGACGAGCACGAATTAATCCAAGTGTATTACTCGCACATCAAAAAGTTTTAGCTTCTACCACTGCTAAATATCCTATTACTCGAGCTGAAGTAAAAGTTTTAACAATTCCTTCGGGTGTTCAAGGAAAAACTCTTGATAATATATTTTTAGGACAGGTACCGAAAAGATGTATAATTGGATTTGTGAACAATTCTGCATTTAATGGTTCCCTTACTAAAAATCCATTTAACTTTGAAAACTATGGTATTAATTCTTTCAGCTTATATATTGATGGTCAACAAATACCTTCAAAAGCTTTGCAACCATCTTTTAATAATAGCATATTTACATCAGCATATCATACTCTATTCTCGGGAACTGGTATTCACTTTCTTAATGAAGGAAATGGAATCTCTTGTGAACAGTATGGCAAAGGTTACTGTCTATTAGCATTTGACTTAACTCCTGATTTATCAGCTAACTCATCAACTCATTGGAATCTCATAAAGCATGGTAGTGTAAGAATAGAAGTACGATTTGAATCCTCATTAATACAAACAATTAACTGTATAGTTTATGCTGAGTTTGATAATATTATTGAGATAGATAAAAACAGAAATGTTACTGTAGACTATAGTAGTTAAGGTTATAATATGTGTTGTGTGTTAGATTTTATGTGTTATGTGTAATGCATTTTGTGTGTATGTAACTATGTGAAACGTTATAAAATTAAATAAAACAAATTGTATGCAATATATTTTTTTTTTATTTCTTTATAAATCTTCTATTTAATCTAATACAAAACACTGTTCGAGTTGAAATTTTACATAAGCACACTGACTAAACCACTGAACATGCTGCTGCCAAGGATCATCATCATCTTCCCAATCTTTTAAACCACCACCACAATGGAAACACTTGGTCCCGTCTGCTGGGCCAGTATAAAAGAAACCAGCTTCTGCAAGATCTTCAGGTTTCTGTCGCATAACGAGAGGCCAGTTTTCGAAACTAAGCAAACGGCTAGATTTTGAACTGAAGAATGGATATTCAGCTCTTGAGTACTGCATACTCTTCTCGTTTTCTTCTCCACTCAGTGTTGTAGTTTTGTTATTCAATGATGTGTTTTGTACACGTATGCCACACTCATCTCTTCCTTCCGCTCTTGTCTTCCTGTAATTGAAGTAAACAGAATCACATTCACTAATGATCAGCTAATGACTGTCATTGTTAAAAAAGTATTTTTTAACTTTTTCACTTTCTGCTATTGTCTTTGTTATATTGTATACGAGGGCGTTTGTGTTGTCGTAGATGCTATCCTTATTAGTCTTTACGTAATATTTAATTCTCGTGGAAGCATGTTTCCAATGATCAGTAGTTGGAATCTTGGATAGCTTTTTCATATCGTACATTTCAATTTTGATGAGATGCGTCGCTTGGTCTCCGTCGTCAGAATTAGTAGAAATGTATGATACACCATCTCTAGCGGCTCGTGCTACGGTTGATGATAACAGCTTCCTCTTTTTTATTTTTGATTCAGCTTCAAAAAAATGATCAATCGATTGCGATTTTCTTTTTCCACCATCGCATGTGTTATTATTAATGACGAGGTCATCACTCTCTTCTTGAGGGGAGAGTGGCGAGTAGTAATACTGTTTATAGGTATCTTCATCGAAGCTCAATGATTTCTGCAACAACACAGTTATCATGTTAATATCAATTTGTTAACACTTAATCATAAAAGTTAAAAAAGTTAAAGTTACAGCCTATTAAAGTCCACTGCTGAACATAGGCCTCCTCTCATTTCTGAGAGGGTTTTAGAGCAAGGAAATGTCCGCCGCGCTCCCTCAATGTGTGTTGGCGAACTTCACATGAATTTTCTCAGACATGCAGGTTTCCTCACGATGTTTTCCTTCACCACCAAGCACGTGGTAATAAGCACTTAAAATTGCGATTAACAATTTAATTGGTGCTGGCGGGGATCGAACCCGGGTCGCGTACTGTGAAATTTACAGCTAGCGCTAACCATCTGAGTTACCACGGCTTAATCATATACATACACAATATTTAAATAAAATAATACACACACATGAAAATAACAGAAAAAAAGTAATTTAGTCAATAGAATAAACACTTACATCCATAGCCTTTGGTGTATTGAAGTAACACAAATGTACTATTGATAGATCCACTGTAGTCAAACGACCGTACACTAACTCGATGACTGCGTCTGTTGGTCTTATATACCACCAGTACGTAAAAATTCTAATCTAAAGTATTTCCGTAATGAGTTGATAATTACTTTATGCGTCAACCAGTTTATCTCACATTTCCGTTGTCTATCTCAACATTTCTTCGTATTGTGTTTTGTTTGGTGATCAATGACTCAAGTACGATTTGTATAACACAAAAATGCAATTTAATATTTAGAAACATATCAGTTTATCTCACATTTCCGTTGCCTATCTCAACATTTCTTCGTATTGTGTTTTGTTTGGTGATCAATGACTCAAGTACGATTTGTATAGCACAAAAATGCAATTTAATATTTAGAAATCACTATAATTGACCATTCCTATGTTATTCATTGAGTAGATTGGTACTGTAATAATCTACTAATAGCAGTAATATCATGGATACACTACATGTACAACAACATCTGAAAAAGATTCACCCCAGTCTAGAAAATAATGTTTATGCAGCTAATAGACTGCCTATGTATACCCACGTACCAACGTATATAATATGCAATTTGGATACAGATGATAAACCAGGGTCACATTGGGTAGCTTTATATATCGATACGAATGAGGTCGGTCAATATTTTGATTCATATGGACGATCACCTGTACGATATCATCTAGAGTTTTTAAAAAGGAATTGTAAAAGATGGAACTGGAATGTTGATAGGATTCAGAATGAGTGGACTTTAGTTTATGGCGAATATTGCTTAATGTATTTGCTATATAAGTTTCAAGGATGTTCAATACATAGTTTTACGAGTATATTTACAAGGAACACATTGTACAACGATATTTTAGTGGATGAGATGTTTCGCTCCTATTTTATAGATAATAAGTAATAAGATTTTGTATTTTATAAATAAAAATTGTAACAAAATTATGTAATGTATTTTATTGATGATTCAGATTAGCGTTGTATAATTAGGAACAAAGAAGTACAATATAATAGCACTGATATAGTCGACGCAAACGCTGCAATGAAGGTGATTAATGAACAATAGAACAATAGAAATAGGAACAATGGGACGCTAATGACGGTGGAGGCCCTTACCGGATATCAATTAGATATTAGCTAATTGATCTACACATCTCCGGAACCGTGCATTCTACACAAAAATGGACCGCGAAGTGGTACAACTACACTACTGCAAAACAACTAAGTCATTTCGTCAAATCGTTGTTCGAGATATTTTGAGAATTTACCACAGACTAAAGGATGATGAATATTTTGCCCAACAGACCGAATTTCGACCAGTCTCGACGAAGACTAGCCGTCTGGGCAGTGAAGTGTCCGTGGTAGAGTCATGCTGTAGCTTTATTCGTAGTATAGTTGTAGCACGAATGTGTCGGCTCGACCGGGGAAGGACCACGCTCTCACAGAATGCCATCGTAAAATAGCAGCTTAACACTACTGTGTTTCGTATGGTGATTGTGGAAAACCGGAGACCCTTTTTACTGGAAAAGAGGCATTCCATCTTAGTCCTCACGGGTGACAACGCATCTGCATTTTGATTTTTTATTGATGATAAATGTAGATGTCTATGGGTCACAGCAACCACTTACCATCTGGTGGACTGTGTGCTAGTTTGTTACTCTATCCTATAAAAAAAAAAAAAAACAGGATTATAGTGCACGAGTGTGTGCACAAGCAAACGTGCATTCGCTATTCCCTTACTGCAATAGTACTATGAGACGGAAATCCGACACGGCCGAAGAAAGAACAGGCGCAAGAAAATACAATAAACAATAAATTCTTTGCTACACAGGTTACCTTACGATGTTCTAAACCTACGCCGAGCACCTGATAATTCACTGGTGCCGACGGGGATTGAACCAGAATTGATCTCGTACGGCGCAATTTGCAGCGAGTGCTACCACGTCTAAGGTATATTACTTTCAGAAATATAAATTATAGAGTTTTCTTTCTTAGTGTTTTTTCTAGACTTCTAGATTATTAAAAGATATTTAATTATAGACCGTTAATTTCGAGAAAAAGTCCCGCTTAGTTTCTTAAATTTTATAATTATTTTTTAATATAACAGCACGCAAAAATCCACGTCCGATCCCCGCCGGCAACAATAAAAGTATTTAATTATCATTTTAAAATTGTCCTTTTAAGTTCAGATTTATCACATGCTTGGTGGTGATAACCTGCAATGTCGGAGAAATTAAAAAAATATTTCAGAGATATGTGAAGTCCGACAACACGAATTTGGGACAGCGCGGCGGTTACCTCCTTGTTCTAAAACCTTGTCGGTGCGTAAGTAATCATCATGTAAACGGGTGGTGGGCATAGAATTATTACGCAATAATTCTATGGGTGGTGGGCTTTTCCCAGCTGTAGGACGTATATAAGCTGTAATGTCTTAATTTATATTAAGGATATTTTCGTGTTTTTATCAATGTAATTTTATTTTTCACTGGCCGTATTGATTGGAATTTTCAACGGTGGTGTTTCAAAGTTTAAAAAATTCTATGATTTATCCCAAAATGCATTAAAGTGTAATGTATGTAGTAAATAATATCGTAAAACTCATTTTTTTTTATGTGAACAACATAACTGAATTTTTTGTGTTAAAGATATTAGGTAATATTGTCAGAAAAGAACTAACAAAAAGTCGGTAATAGAAGTTGGTATTGTAATATTGTTATTGGGTAAGGTTTACAAAAAGAATATAACTAAAAAATACTTTCAACTAAAGTGTCATTTACCTTTGGTGAACTTTTTATCTCTGTCGTGTGCGTCTTGTTCTCCGATGTCTTTGCTTCGCTTAAGCACAAAAAAACTATCAATGTCAACACATAAAACTTAATTCCCTTGGATTTTAAATGACCCATGTTTAAATAAGATTAAAAATGACAAAACTTTGTAATAAATATATATTTAAAAACGTGTAATGAATTTTATTTTTGTATTTTATCAGTAAGATTGGCGTAAATTATGCGCGAAGGATTAAAAAATTAAATGTCAATAAATGGCACGAAATATAAGTTGTCAAAGCTCAAAGCTCAATGGCGGACTCCAGTCAACTGGAAATGTAAAGTAACAGACTGCAAGACGCGATTATTTTTAGATTTTATCGATAGGGCCATATTAACGGATTCGACTGCGTAGAGCAAAATGGTGGAATAGAATTTTAGCATGTCATCGAGTGTTCAAAGTAACATTGACTGATAAATTATTGTATATTCTCTGATAATTTTTTAATAAAAATACAAAGTGTGAAGTTGATTATAACTGTTATTTCCCTGTTGAATGTGTTTGACCGAATTTAAATGGCATTATATTATTTTTCTTTACTTTCAAAATACATGCTACATTTCCAAGGCAAATTTTTTTTATAGGCTAGGGTGACAAACGAGCACACAGTCCAACTGATGGTAAGTGGTTGCTGTGGCCCGTAGACATCTACATCTATCCTCGTTTGCGAATCCATATGCAGACGCGTTGTCACCCGTGAGGACTAAGATGGAATGCCTCTTTTCCAGTAAAAGGTTCTCCGATTCTCTACACTCACCATACGAAACACAGCAGTGTTAAGCTGCTATTTAACGCTGGTATTCTGTGAGAGCGTGGTCCTTCCCCGGTGGAGCCGACCCATTCGTACTACAACTATACTACTAATATAGATGCAGCATGGCTCCACTACGTATATACCTATTCCACCAAAAACACAAACGTGAAAACGGGGCCAAGTTCAGTACAAACGACTTTCGTGGTTTTTGGCTTCGGCCAATGAAATAATTGTGATTTGAACGGACGCCAAGCTCCATAAGAGTTGAAAGAACGTTGTATTTTCCTATTGATCCTACGATTTATTCAGTTATTGGGTTTTTCTGTCAGGAAATAAAATCAATAGCAGCTCGGAGTCAGAAAGTTAGTGGTGTTTCACCCCCGTGCCTCGGAAAGCACGTGAAGCCGTTGGTCCTACGTCTGATCTCTCTCCGGTCCTGTCGGCTGTCGTCCCATCGAACTATGAGAGTGAGGGAATAGAGAGTACACTATAATCTCGTCCTACACAGATGGCTAATCTCCGTTGAGACTGGCCGCCGTGATCGAAATTCGGTCTGGAGGACATTATGATTTATTTTATTCCAATGCTAAAGAGCTTGACACCGTGTAGTGGTGACGTACGAGCATCCATTACCCCATATCATGCAGTGGGTATATATATACTAAGAGAAGACAACGGGATACTGAAACAGGAGACTGGGAGCAGCATATTCCTGATAACAACTCAAAATGTTAAAAGTGCGGTTACCGCTTATATTATTACCAGCGTGCCAAGCGTGGTGACTATGGCAATGAGGGCATTCACGACTTTTTCTGCCGCCAGGACGGCGCCACTTGAAAGTGAGGTATAATATATATATATATATATATAGGTATAATATATATATATATATAAAAATAAATAAACCAAACCACAAATATTCATATAAAAATTTAAAAAAAATTTACAATGTCCAAAAAATTAAAGAGCAAACCAGGCATGAGGCATTGTTTTGTGTATTAATATAATACTAAATCTAAAAACGGATAAACTTTTATTTAAAAAAAACTTCTCAATCAAATGACATTGTGTAACAAAAAACTTTACCTCAGTGTCAACTAGCGACATCTGGTGAGCAGAAAATTATTAGCCCTCATTATCCCCCCTGCGAGGCAATCTATGGGGCAGGCCTATGTTCAGCAGTGGACTTGATAAGCTTAATAAGCTGTGATAAATGAATGAGTGAAAGAATAAAATATAACTAATTGAGATGCGTTTTATTAGAAACTAGCTTTTTATCTGCGGCTTCGCTCGCGTGAGCATGAATTAGGAACATCATTAAATGCTGTTCCGTGCCAAATTTAGCAAAATTTTATTACTTTTAGAGTCCCCTCGGTGTCTGTGTCTTAATGTCTGTCGAAGATAATTTTTGAATTCTAAAAGACTATTAGGCGTAGGTGATTGGTGTTTGAGATGTATATAATATGCTACAGGAACACGTGAATATATGAAAGGTAAATTTTCTTAGAATCAAAATTTATTATTATTATTTGCATTTTACTCTTTACACATTCATAATTAAAATTAATTTAGTTTTAACAAAATAATGATGAATTTCATGATCTTCTATCAATTTACGGTATAATGTTTATATGAGATATTTTATACATAACATTGGTCTTATTTAATATTGATTGGCACCATAAAATAGATGTAGATATTTATTTTACGTTCGAGTAGACTTCAAAATTGCATAAACGCAATTCTATAATGATGTATATTACACATGGAATAAAATTAATGTTACGGATTTTATCACGTTTATTTTTAACTTTTTTTACGTTGGATTTTTTTACGCAACTTTGGCTGAAAGTTCCATAAAAACCTTCGTAAAAACCATATCGTTGATGTGAAGCACCGACGCTCCAGGAAGTCTAAAGTATGTCAACATGTTTAGTATCGTTCCAACCATTATATCAGATCTGATAGACAATAAATCCTTGCAATAAAAAATCGATTCCTACCAATGATGATTCGCGAGGCTATTGAAATTAAAAAACATCCTAATTTTAATAGGGAAGATGGCTGAGTGCTACCATCTGCTAAGGACTTCATAAGTAATAAAATAATATTCACACCCAAGCATACTACTGTATTTATTCTATTCTATACTATTCTTATTCTATTCTATTCTAACTATGATATCAGGTCGTCAAACACCTCAGTCCTACAGTGCCCAAAACATCGGGAATTGAAAAGGTTAGAATTAAACGTGATGAAATCCTTAAAATTAGTTTTATTTCTTATACATTTTATTCAGTGAACGTGGGTAGCACTTTACTCATGAACGGGAATAAAAAAAATATTCGCCTTGTTGTGGCGGTGAAAACCTCATATCATCCCGTCGTAAGAGGCAACATAGAAAAACAAACAGGAGATGGGATGGGCAGCATCATCTTCCTGACAACAGATCAAAATAATAATAGCTGTGGTTGCCAACCCGCCTACCAAGCGTGGCAACTATAGCAAATATCCAGCTACTTGACAATGTATAGGGGAGGCCAATGTTCATTTCAGTGGACTTTTGATAGGCTGACGAGTATGAGTTCTACTCATCTTTGGAACCCTTAATATATGGTAGAGTGAAAACAAAAAATTAACATACCCGAAAACATGAATGAAATAAAAACTGCATATATTGCCCCATGAAAAGTAAAAAAGTAGCAGCTTACATACATGTTACTATTTGGCACAGGCCGTTTTTGTTTTTGCAGTTTTTGGTCAAAAAAGTGTTCGCTGCGCTGATTCCAACGCGGGATGACCTCAACTGGGAAACTTCTCAGATATGCAGGTTTTCCTTCACCGACGAGAAGGTGGTAAATTGATACTTCAAATTGCAATTAAAATGTATACTAAAATGTATAATAATGCTTACGTACCATGAAATTTAAGTTTTAATCACTTTGATTACTTTGACAAGTAAAATAAAATGAACCTTTGCTATGGAACCTTTGTTTGTCTTTCCTAACAGCCTGTTCACTTACATATGTAACTCATATGAGCTATGAAACCAGGACTGTCACAATCATAGATAAGCTAATATAACACAATTATCTTAATATGATTTAATGATATCGTCATATGACTATATCAATAGTCATATGACGATATCATTAAAATAAACATAATGAAATAGAAACGTTGTGTTTAGTTATTATCTTCAAACGATTTCTATTCATTGATTTGGTCAAGCTATAGCATGACATGGTCAACAGACAGTATTAAATATCATAGAATGACCACACCATTTCAAGAAATAATATACTACGAGTACTTATAAAAATCTCTTTAATAAAACTATAATGATAATGAAAATTTTCCAATGATTGCAGCCAAACCAGTTTTGATTATTTTACACAAAGAGATTTAAATATATAGGTAACTACTTAAATGTCTTTGATTTTACATATAAATTAGTAATTGAAATAAAAACCTTATCAATTTTCATATTTTTGATAGATTATCTATTGAAATTATTACACTTTTAAAATAAAATAACAAAAATACTGACAAATTAAACATTAAAATTTTTAAATGTTTTTATAAATCTAATTATTTAAACATATATGTAAATGTAAGTTAGGTATTTATATTATTTAATTTATAAATGACTGAAAGCAAAATATACCTATTACTTTTTGTATTCGATGATAGATGGCGCTATTTTGATAACTAAATCGGTGTAGTTTCAAATTATTTTACCAAGATTATAACTATATCTTAAACCTTCTTAACTTAGGGACTAAGCGCTCGCTGTAAATATTAGTAGAGTACGCGAGAAACCCGGGTTCGATCCCCGCCGGCACCAGTGAAATTGTTAATTACAATTAAAAGTGCTGATTACCGAGTGCCCGGCGGTGAAGGAAAACATCGTGAGGAAACCTGCATGTCTGAGAAATAAGACAAAAATATTTCGAAGACGTGAAGTCCGCCAACACTGGGGCAGGGCGGCGGACATTCCTTGTACTAAAACCCTATTAGAAATGAGAGGAGGCCTGTGTCCAGCAGTGGGACGTTTATAGGCTGTAATTTTACTTTAACTTCTAGTTTAGTAGGATCCGACTGTGGGTACTGCCAAATAAATGTGATGGCTTCCGATATATGACGGAATAATCATTTCGTTTATACCAGACGTATAATATCCAGACTGTTGACGGGAAGCAGTGTCTAAGATGCAATCACCGATCTGTCTGTCAAGAGTGACCGAGAGCGGGAGCGTTGTAGGGACAACGGAAGAGGGTCCTGCAGTGGACTTTTAAAATTGTAAAAAACTGCGGCCGCCAACCCGCCCACCAAGCGTGGCAACTGTTCAGGACTGGAATTTTATAGGCTGTAATGTATATATGGCTAAATAAATCACATTAGTTACACAACCAATGTGCACCTTTCTCTGTGTGCATCAAAACCTTGTTAGATCGTGGACTTAGTTTTCAGACATGTTAATTTTTTAACTGGAGAATATAATTTTTTTGTCGTTT